TTTTCCAGAATAGAATTCTAAACCCAGTCAAATCATCAGTTAAGCATGAGGGTTGAATAAAGAAATGTTTAGACATGTAGGACAAAAAGCTACCCTTTCTCAAGAAGTCACTGAGAGATGTTTTCTTCCCAAGCAAGGAAATAAACCAAGAAACAAAATTTAAAAAAAAAACAACCCAGGAAATCAGAAAAGAGGAGAACCAGCATAAGTGAAAGAAATAAATGAAAGATAAGTGAAAGGAATCTCTAGGATGATGCTGAAGGGAGATGCCAGGATGACAGCTGGCCTAGAGGGCAACCTGTCCAGACTGAATCTACATGACTTAAGCAATGGGTACAACAAGGTCCCTCATCAGTTAGTTCTCAGGCTTTGTACAAATTCTTGACCTTTTGAAATATCGGATGATGTGTTCTTACAAAAGAGAAGTCAAGAAAAAAGATTAGAGATTCAAGAAACAGGAACTGCAACCCAAGAGAGAGGCAGAGAGATTCAACAATGCCAACAATGGAGGTGCCCAGACAAGAGTTACACAGGAGGATGAGAGAAAAATCAGCCCAAATAAGAGGAAAACAGAAGACTCTTGGTAAAGAGGTTTTCATGAAAAACAACTGTTCTAAAACTGACCTTGTAGAAATTGTATGAAGGAACTATTTGAAAGCATATTATGTTCTAAAACTGACCTTGTAGAAATTGTATGAAGGAACTATTTGAAAGCATAGGAAAATCAACTAGGGTAACAACAAAAATTAAGAAAAGGCTATTTTTAACTTCAAGAAAAACAAAAAAAAATATTCACAACAAACAACACAACTGAGAATAGTTTCATTTCATAATAATGTAAACACCAAATATAAGTCTAACTCTAAATTACAGTATTATTGTTGTAATATTATGGGAAAGGGAAACAGTGGGGACAGAGGTGTGAGAACTAAATCTTTATCCTTATCTAATAAGTTAATAGATAATATCTAAAACTTGAATCAATAAGTACTGTAATGTACTTATTGAGAATTATGGAATTAAGTAAATGCTAGAAGAAACAACAAATCGAATTTAAGTTGGTTCTCTCTAGAAGAGAAGATGGAGACATGTGGATGTGTGAGAAGGAAATCCTTTATGTTTGTGTTCTAACAAAAATGAAGTCAAGAAAAAAGACCAGAGATTCAAGAAATAGGAACTGCAAACCAAGAGAGATGGCCTTCCAGTTCCATTTGACTTTCAAAACTATGTACACGTATTTTGACAAGGTTTAGTTAAAATCAATGTTTTATCAGGTCTTGCTAAAGTTAAGTCCTGTGAAATGTACTTTCACTGATAAAGTCTTATTTTGTAATATATTAAAAGCATTCCAGGCTGGACACTGTGGCTCAAGCCTGTAATCCCAGCACTTTGGGAGGTGAGAAGACTGCCTGAGCTCAGGGGCTTGAGAAGAGCCTGGGCAACTTGGTGAGACCTCGTCTCTACAATAAATCAAAAAATAAGCTGGGTGTGGTAGTGCATGCCTGTAATTCCAGCTGCTTGGAAGTTTGAGGCAGAAGGATCACCTAAGCCCAGCAGGTTGAGGCTGCGGTGGCCGTGAGCGTGCCACAGCACTCCAGCCTGGGCAACAGAGTGAGACTCCAACTTAAAAAAAAAAAAAGCATTCCAACAACTTTGAGACAAATTGTTGAATATCTTGTGAAATACTGAACTAGTATTGGCTAGGGAGAATCACAGAATGGTGGGCATTACTCAGAGAATGGAACGTTCTGGAAGAAGTGGATTATAAACTGGAATGATGTATGTTATGCAGAAAAAGGCCTTGGACAAAACCCTCAGAGAGAAGAGTATGAAATCAAACGAGGATTTTAGACTTTCCAAGGCTGTCAATCTACCTCTTCCTTAAATGCCCCACCAAGAATGGTTACTCCTACATCTCCAGAGCTTCCTTGGTCTTCTCTGGATGATTCTGGCAGGTATGAAAGGCATTTTTTTTCTTAGGTGATGGATTTATGTCAAGGCAGGAACTTATGCTCAAAGTTATTTGAAAAGCATCATATGTCCATTAATTCAACTCAATACATATTCACTGATACTCCTAAGTGTCAGACACAGTACAAGGCACTGGAGACAGGCTGATGGAAATAAGAAAGTCTCTGGCCAAAGGACAACAGCTTGGGAAACTGGATTTCTACAGCCATAGATAAGATTATCATCTGTAGCCACTAAACCCTCCTTCTCCATGCCTCCTAAAGTTCCAAGTGTTTTCTCAACCTAGGAATGTGCATCCCGGCAAAACACCCACACCTCCCTGGCCCCCAGACCAGGAAGTACAGGATATTCTACCTTCCCCCATGATTAACTGGAGGATGCACACGAGACAAATTGATGCTTCCAACAGGAAAACCAAAATGTGTTTGTGAGGAGGCAGGGCTGAAATGAAAGAAGCAGCATTTAATCTAAACCATTTCCTGTGATTTGGATTTCTTTTTAAAAAATTGGCCGCCTTATCATTTTCTTAGTCACCTTTTCTCTAGGCTTATTGGAGGCGTAGTCCTAGCAACCTCCCGTCTGCTGGAAAACAGAATCAAGAGAATGAGGAGCATGACGACACATCACTCACTGGATGAAAATATTAGGGGAAAAACAACCATCGTATTACCATTTGCATAAAACCTATTAATGCCCTCTTCGGAGTAATGAAATGAATGCTACATCACCGTGAGAGCAGCTGTGATCTGCTGCTTCTAGGAATGAGGAGTATTTGAAACAATCTGCAAGCCTCTGCCACTCCTGATGCAACATCACTGACTTTAGCACTCTTTAATTAAAATACTTTCCTTGTTAGGGGCAGGAGCTACTGCGCAGTAGCTCCTGCCTGTAATTCCAACAGCTTGGGCAGGAGGATCGCTTGAGACCAGGGGTTCAAGACCAGGATGAGCAACATGGAGAGACCTTGGTCTCTCCAAAAATAAAAATAAAAAATTTCCTGAGGGTGGTGACGTGCACCTATAGTCCCAGCTACCTAGGAGAAAGAGGCGGGTGGATCGCTTGAGCCCGTGTAGGTCAAGGCTGCAGTAAGCTATGATCATGCCATCACACTCAATCAAGCCTGTGTGACAGAGCAAAACTTCGTCTCAAAAATTGATTAAATAATTTTTAAAAATACATTACTTTCCTTGTTGGGCAAAAGAAGACATAATTGTCAAAGATGTATATAATAGGTCTTCTCTTTGTTCAAAACAGTATTAGGTTTCTTGTGTTCCTGTTTTTCTCATGCTAGTGCAAATCCATGGCACTTCAAACTTTTTTCTTTTTCTTTTTCTTTTTTTTTTTTGAGATGGAGTTTCACTCTGGGATCTAGTCTGGAGTGAAGTGGCACAAACATGGCTCACTGCAGCTTCAACCTGCTAAGCTCGGGTCATCGTTCCACCTCAACCTCCCGAGTTGCTGGGACTACAGGCATGCACCACCATGGCCAGTTAATTTTTCCAAATTTTTTTTTTTTTTTTTTGTAGAGACGAGGCCTCTCTATGTTGCCTAGGCTGTTCTCGAACTCCTGGGTTCAGGTAAACTTCCTGCCTCGGCCTCCTAGAAAGTCAAACCTAAAAAAAAAAATTTTTTTTCCTACTGGCAATCACTAAAACATTGGGGGGAGGGGTAGTACAATCTCAATCAAGAGCTTCTCTCTAGTGTGTTGGTACAGAGATAACATTAACTTTGTAATGGCCCAGCAAAGCTACCTTCTGTCCTGCTCGTGAGATTCTGGAGGCCAGGTGTGCCCGGCACCCGCGAGGGCAGCATCCCGGCAGCTGCAGAGACTGAAAGAGCATCCGCGGGGACTGGGAGGGGAAGCACGGAGAAGGTGGAGATTGGAATCATGTGTGTTCCTCGAGTGTACAACCCACATTTGAGTGACAAATGACGAGGACTATCTATAAAAACAACTAGGCGCAAACCCGACCAAACCCCTCTCCCCCTCTGTGCGTGCGCCCTGGCAACTAACTTTGGGAACTGGGGACCCGGCTCTCTCCTCGCGCCGCCTGGCCTCCATTCCGGCTGGTGCGTCCTGCGCGCCCTCCTCGGCGCCACCTTTTCCCCCGGGCCAAGGATGGAGGATCCCTTTGGCCCCTCAATTCCGCCAACGGCACCCAACCTCTCCGCACCCATCCTGCTGGGCTGGGGTCTCAACCTGACTTCGGGACAGG